TTATTTATTTATTTGAGAGAGAAAGAATGAGAGTTAGAGAGCATGAGAGGGAAGAGGGTCAGAGGAGAAGCAGACTCCCCACTGAGCAGGGAGCCCGATGCGGGACTCGATCCCGGGACTCCAGGATCATGACCTGAGCCGAAGGCAGTTGCTTAACCAACTGAGCCACCCAGGCGCCCTAGATTATACTTATCTTTTAGGATGTCTTAGAAAGGATATTATTATAAAAAACATTTTCTCCAGAGATTGTTTTATACAGTGGAAGTTTCTTTGTTAAGCAAATTTTGTATAACTTAATCAATTCTATAGTAGAAAAACACAATGAATTATACTAGACAGGTAATAAGCTTGAGGCACAGAATCCATCGTTCAAAGAGAAGTGTCAATTTTAATTTCATGAGGACTTTCTGACTTATAACCAGCAGGTTGTCTTTTTCATTTTATTTGTTTTGAATGATGTTATGGATTCACTAAATAGGTTTCCTTTTCTTCTTCTTTTTTTTTTTTTTACAAATGGAAACTAACTGAATTAATAAATGGGTTAATAATATATAATAATATATTACATTATATAATAATAATAATAAATATAGTAGGTTCAGACTGACCAGACACAGATCACATTTGGATACATCCAACAAGGTTTATTTATCTAGAAGTTCTAGAAAGAGGCCATAGCAACATTATTCAGGTCACCTAAAAAGGACCTCCCCAGCAGGCACACTATTGTGGATGAGAAGTTCAAGTGGCTGTTGGTTACATGAAAACTTCTGGAAGCTCAGTTCTTCCTTCCATGCCCAGACTTTTATACCCGAGATTGGAGCAATTCTGCTGAGTACTTGGGTTATGAACTGGGATCACTCAACTGAGCCAAGTGAATCTTACCTGCACTCATGTTAAAAAATATACAGAAGGAAAAAAATATAAATACAGAAGGTGTCCTATGTGTGGTTCAGTAAAGCACACTTAGGCTTGAACACAATGCTCATTTATTATCCTTGAGCTCCCTAGGCCCTCACAGCCTGAACTTCTGGTTTTCCTGAACTGAGAGCTGCAAACCAAGCTTGGGGTCAGTTACCCAGACATTCCAGACTCAGGCTAACAGCTCTTGAGACAAGTAGTAGGGTTATCATGCACATGTCCATCATGAACCAAGAGGAGAATTCAAACTACCTATAGTCACTTCACTAAGAGATGCCCAGCATTTACATTTTGGGGGGTATTTTCCAAGCATTTCCCAAACAAAATCATACAAGGATACTGGTTAGTAATTTGTTTTTACCCTAGCAAAATACTAGGGATACCTTTTCATGTTAATAAATATTGAGCTATAATTACATAATTATTGAAATTGCTATGTAATATTCTATTATATAGTTTTATACTACCACTTAGCCTATCAGCTATTGATCAACATTGTTATTTTTATCTTTTTGTTATTATAAAAATGCTGTTATACCTTTAGCTAGCTATGTTGTCAAATTAATTTCTTTCTTCTCTCCTACCAAATTCTCTTACACATTTTGTGTGAACAAACAACTCAAGACGTAATGACATTGTTAGATGCTTCATGAAGGATAAAGTGTAACTCTAGACAGTCTGTTAAGCAACTAATTTCTAGAAATTGGCTACTGGTAGAGAGTAGTCTAAAATAAAGCTAATTTAACCAAGAAAAATGATATTTAGAGCAGGGAGGATTCTTTTTGTCTTTTAGGTCAAGTGCAGATTAAGTACAGATCAAGTACAGAAATATTTACCTCCTTCAGGTGTATGGTTCTATGAATATCAGTAAGTGCACATAGGTAACTTCCTTATTGAACCTTTCCCTCACCCCAAAATGTTCCCTCATGTGTCTTTGTAACCACGCCTCTCTTGCAACCCCAGCTGGCAACCACTAACTAATTTTCTTATAATACGGTTTTGTTTTTTTCTGAAATGTCATGTAAAGGGGATCATCCAGCATGTAACTTTCTTAGTCTGGCTTCTTTTCATAGTTCAGTGCATTGGAGATTCATCCACATCATGGTATGTTTCAGTAGCTTGTTCTTTTTTACTTTACTCACCAGTTGATAGATGTTGGGTTGTTTCCAGTTTTTTTTGGTGATCATGAATAAAGCTGTTAAAAACATTGACATATAAGTTTTCATGTGGACATATATTTTTTTTTCTTTGGGTAAAAACTTAGGAGTAGGATTGCTGGATTGCACGCTAACGGTATTTTTAACTTTATAAGACACTGCCAAACTTTTCCACAGTGACTGTACCATTCTGCACAACCACCAGCAGTGTATGAGTGTTCCAGGTGCTCTGCATCCTCACCAGCGCTTAGCATTGTCAGTCTTTTTCTTCCTTTCTTTTAAAATTTTAGATATTGTAGTAGGCGTGTAGTTGTATTTCATCGTGGCTTAAATTTGTATTTCCCTAATGACTAGAGATGTTGAGCATCTTTTTATGCACTTTTTGCCCTCCAGATATCTTTTCTGATGGACTGTTTGTTCAAATTTTTCCCATTTTTAAAAATGAGATTTTTTTTTTATTATTTAGTTTTGAGAGTTATTTGAGCTATATAATTTCAAACACCACTCTTTGAAAAGGCTGTTAAAGAGAAGCACTTTGGGAGTGGTGTAGTAAGACCTACAAAAATCTCTTCCATAGAAGCAGCAAGAACACTGGCAGCAATTGTGAAAATCAACATTTTTAGAACTCTGAAAATGAACCAAAGGCTTGCAACAATATGAGGGCCATTTATTTAAGAAAAATGGCTAGATCTCTGTTAAGAACAGCAAGCTCTGAGGTATTTTGACTTGTTCTATTCCCATCCCTTTTCCAAGCTCTGCAGTAGCCTTGAAAACCAGCAGCCTCACAAGCATGGTAGTTAGGGAAATGCAGACTAGTGCACTGAAGAGGAAGAATAAAAGCCCATCTCCAGAGAATTGTCAGTATTTGACTTGTCTGGCAGCTCCTTGTAAAAGACCCCTTCACAGAAGTTGTCTCTCTTTGATTTAACTTTGAGCTCATTTAGTGGAAAAAAATCCTTTCTCTAGGATGTTTGTCAAAAACAAAATAATCAGCAGCAATTGTTTAATGTTCAGCTGCATGAGATAATAATGCCATTTGGGGCAAACAAGAGGCTGGATAAAAACTTAATAGTAAAATATGGGGAGTGAGATGTATAGGGGGGTTTGGGAAAGCTCTGACATATTCCTGGGGTTATAGAAGGCTATGCATATGTGCAGGGCTGTGCGGTGCCCAGGAAAGATGTGGGAACGTCCTAATTTCTCACCCCTGGCTGACCTTGACCCTCTGCACAAGCAGGAAGTAAAGGCTGAGGTAGATTTCAGACTGCCAGAATGTTGAAGTCGTGCCCCAACACACACACTCAGGCCCCTCTGCAAAGGCTGGGAGACTTATTGGTTCAAAGCATTCAGTGAAATTTCTGTTCAATCCTTAGCTGACCACTAAGCTCACTGAGCAGAGACTTCAGTAGCTGCACGTGACAAAGAATATAGGCTTTACAGGATTTATAGTCCAGGGAAATCACTGAACAGATATCAGCAATAACAATAACAAGCAGCAAACACAAAACTCCCTGTGTGTATGTGTGTGTGTGTGTGTTGTGGGGTGGAGGATCTTATTGTCAGAGTTGCCACATTATATTATTTAAAATGTCCAATTCTCAACAAAAAATTATGAGACACACAAGAGACAGATACTATGGCCTATTCACAGGAAAAAAGGAGCCATTGGAAACTGTTTCTGAGGAAGACTTCAACAACACTATTTATAAACCAGCTAGACCTAAAATAGACATCTACACAACACTCCACCCCAAAATAGCAGAATACAAATTCTTTTCAAGTGCACGGGAACATTTCCAGATCGACCATATGTTAGGCCATAAAATATGTCTTAATAAGACCTAGAAGTTTTCACTGGTGAAGTCTATGAATGTTAAAGAAGAATTAATACAAATTCTTCACACTCTCTTCCAAAAAAATAAATAGAAGAGGATCACTTCCCAACTCATGCTATAAAGCCAGTGTTACCTTGTTACCAAAATCAAAGACATAAAAAAAAAGAAAACAGATCAATATTCCTTATGAATAAAATGTAAAAATCAACAAAATACCAGCAAACCGAATTCAATAACATATAAAAAGAATACTGTACCATGACCAACTGGGACTTACCCCAGGATTGCAAAGTTGTTTAATGTATGAAAATGAATCAAAGGAAACAATAGAGTGAAGGGGCGACCTGTGAAATGAGGAAAATATTTGCAAACCATGTATCTCATGAGGAGTTAATTTCCAAAATATATAAGAAACTCCTACAAGTCAGTAGCAAAACAAAAACAAAAACAAAAACAAAAAACCACAAATAAGCTCAAAGGCAAAGGACTTGAATAGACACTTCTCCAAAGATATACAGATGGTCAACAGGTATATGAAAAGGCGCTCAACACTACTAATCATCAAGGAAATGGAAATCAGAACTATGAGATACCACCTCGCACATGTTAGGATGGCTATTATGAAAAAACAAAAAAACAGCACCGGGGGCTGGGTCTGGTAGGCTGTGGGGCTGACTGCGCGGGGCTCGGCTGAAGCGGCCCGCTTGCGGCCTGCTGGACCATGCCGAGCGGAGCGTGCGGCTGGCTCGCCTCAGCGCTGCGGGGTCCACGCGTGCCGCCGTTCGCGGTGGCCCGGAGGTGCCTTCACGCGTCGGGGTCACAGCGGTCCGCGGACAAGAGCGAGAGGCCCGGAGAACCCGCCCCGCGCCTTCGACCCAGCGCTACTCGAGTTCCTGGTGTGCCCCCTCTCCAAGAAGCCACTCAGATATGAAGCATCGACAAATGAATTGATTAATGAAGAGTTGGGAATAGCCTATCCAATGACGGATGGGATCCCTAATATGATACCGCAGGCAGCTAGGATGACACATCAAAATAAGAAGCAAGAAGAAATGGAGCGGCACTAGGTCATAATTAAAAACAGCAACACACACAACTAAACTTTCTTAATACCACTTACCTTTTTAAAAGTCAGAGTGGCAGGTACTAAGTGGGGGAGAAGAATGTTTCTGTCTCTTCCAACGTTGACTGTCCTTATTCCGTTGGTCTCTTTAGCAGGACTGTCCTACTCAGCCTCCGTGGAAGAAAACGTCCCACAGGGCTGCACTAACACAGCCAGCCTGTGCTTTTATGGTCTGCTCCTGCCCATTACCATACCAGTTTATGTGTTCTTCCACCTTTGGACTTGGATGGGTATTAAACTCTTCAGGCATAATTAATACAACCAGAGCCAAGAGGACATATATGTCATGTCTATCTCTGAAAGCTCAACTACATGGAAATACTGGAAACCCACTTAAATTGCAGGAAAGGTGCTTTGCCTTGCTTCTCTCAGAGGTTTAGGACTATGGGAGGCCTAAGCTGCAGAAGTTTCTTTGGTATTTTTTGTTCTGCCCTTGTTTTTTGAAAATTCCGATTAATAACTCCTGTATCAGAAGAAACACTTAAGCAGTTTCTTGTTGGATAGTAACAGTCCCAACCATCACCTGATGACTTTCTTACCCTATTCATCTAAAAATTAGTAATTAAAATTTTTATATGTTTATTTTAAAGTATTTGGCAGAGTTACATGTTAAGGATGACTAAAATAATTCATTCCAAAGGAGTTGTTATGTTGGAGTAGTTGTAGAGAAACGTATTTGAGCTAGTGTGCTATAAAACTATAATAAAAGGGAAACTTCATGTACTTGCAAACATGCTGAGTTTGTAAAATTATCTTCGTTTGTCATCAAATGCTTACATTAGTAATAAAACAAGATGACACTTTTCCATCAAAAAAACAAACAAACAAAAAACCCAAAAAAACAACCCCAAAGGGAACAAGTGTTGGAAGGTTGTGGTGAAATTGAAACCCTTATACACCGTTGATGGGAATGTAAAATGGTGGAGCCTCTGTGGAAAATGTCAGGAAGGTCTCTAAAAAACTAAAAAAGTGTAAAATATATAATGAAACATTGTTTAGCCTTAAAAAATGAAATATTATCATTTACAACAACATGAATGGACCTAGAAAACATTATGCTGAGTGAAATCAATTCAGTCACAAAAGACTGCAAGTACACACACTTATATGACGTTTTCAAAATATTCAAACTTATAGAATCAGAAGATAGAATGGTAGTTTCCAGGCAATGGGGGCGGAGGGAAATCGGAAGTTGTTTACTGGGAATAAAGTTAGAGTTAGACAAGATGAGTAAGTTCTAGAGATACACTATACAATGTAGTGCCTCTAGTTAACAGTGTGGTATTGTGCACTTAAAATTTATTAAAGGAGTAGATGTCATGTTAAGTTTGTTACCACAAACAATAATAGCAACCTCCCAAAACAAAAACAATGAACCCCAGAAAACAAAAAAGAAAGGGACACGAGGATGAGTAAGTTTACTACCTTGATTGTGGTGATGGTGTCATAGGTACATGAATATACCCAACCTCAACAAATTGTATACATTAAACACATTCAGTTTTTGTATGTCAATTGTACCTCAATAGAACTGTAAAAAGGGAAAATTAACTAATGTTATATACTAGTGGAAAAAAGGACAAAAAACCCACTACAGCATCTTGGTAGATACAGAAAATGTGACAAAATCCAACACTTTTTCATGATGAAAACACTCGACAAATGAGGAATAGAAGGAAATTTCCGTAGTCTTTTAGAGGGATCTATGAAAAACCCACAGATAACATCATAGTCAATGGTGAAAAACTAAAAGCTTTCCCCCTAAGATCGGGAATGAGTCAAGGATGTCCACTCTCACCATGTGTATTCCATGTTGTACTGGAGGTTCCAGCCAGATCAATTATGCAAGTAAAGGAAATAAAAGACCTGCAGATTGGAAGGGAAGAAGTAAAACTATCTCTATTTGCAGATGCCATAGATGACATAATCTTATGTATAGAAAATTCCAAGGAATACACACACACACACAATTTAGCACTAATAGTGAGTTCAGCAAGATTGCAGGATATAAGAACAATATACACAAATGAATTGTTTTTCTATGTATTCATGAGCAACAAACAACCCAAAAATGAAATTGAGAAAGCAATTCCATTTACACTAGCATCAAAAAGAATAAAATGATTAGTAATAAATTAGACAAAATAAGTGTAAAATCTGTATACATAAAACCATAAAACATCATTAAAAGAAATTAAAGAAAACCGAAATAAATGGGATGACATCCTATGTTCATTGACTGAAAAAGTATTATAAAGATAGAAATACTATTTATTTATTTATTTATTTATTTATTTATTTATTTATAAACCCAGCTGCCTTTATAGCAGAAATTGATAGGCTGATCTGAAAAGTCATATGGAAATAAAGCAACCTGGAATAGCCAAACTAATCTTGAAAAAGAAGAACAAATTTGGAGGACTCAGAGCCCAGAAATGAACCCTTACTTTTATGGTGAATTGATTTTTGACAAGTATGTCAAGACAATTCAGTGAGTAAAGAATAGTCATTTGAATATATGATGCTGGGACAACTGGGTATTCACAAGCACAGTATTGAGGTTAGAGCCCTAACTAACAGCCATTGACAAAAATTAACTCAAAATGAATCATAAAGCTAAACATAAGAGATAAAAATATAAAACTCTTAGAAGAAGACATGGAGGAAATCTTTGTGTCCATAAGTTAGACAATGATTACTGAGATATGACAAATGCCAAAAAAAAAACCCAAATTGGACTTTATCAAAATTAAAAGCTTCTTTGACACCATTAAGAAAATCAAAAGACGACCCACAGAATTGATAAAATATTTGGAAATCTTAAAACTTATTAGGGACTTATATTAAGAATATATAAAGAACTCTTAAAACCCCCAAATAAAAAAAGACAAAGAATGCTATTAAAATATGAGCAGAGATTTGAATAGACATTTTCCCAAGAGTTATACAGAAAATGGCCGATAAACATGTGAAAAGATGCTCAACTTCATTATGCATCTGCATATGAGGCATATGCAGATCAAAACCACAATGAGATACGACTTTTACATTCACTAGGATGGCTATTAAAAAAAGAAAGAAAGAAAAGTAAGTGTTGGTGATGACGTAGAGAAATTGGAACCTTTATTGCTGGCAGGACTGTAAAATAGTACACCAACTTGGGAAATTAGTTTTCTCGTTTTGCAGTTTCCAGTTAGTTTTGCAGTTTCTCAAAATGTTAAACAGAGATTATCATATGATGCAGCAATTCTACTGCTGGCCAGATACCTAAAAGAAATAAAAACGTAACCATATAAAAACTTGCACACACATAGTCATAGCAACAGCATTATTTACAATATCCCAAAGTGGAAACTACCCAAATGTTCAACTGATGGATGGATAAACAAAATATGCTATATTCATACAATGAAATATTATTCAATGATAAAAGGAATAAAGTACTGAAACATCCTATAATGTGGGTGAACTTTGAAAACGTGCTAAGTGAAAGAAGTCAGTCCCAGAAGACCACATACTGTATATTCCCATTTGTCTGAGATGTCTAGAATAGGCAAATTTATGCAGACAGATATTAGATTAGTAGTTTCTAGAGGCTGGGGTAGGGGGAGTGGAAAATGAGTGTTAATGAGTATAGACTTGCTTTTTGGAGTGATGAAAATATTCCAAAATTAGATAATAATCCCTGTACAACTCTGAATATATTAAAAAGACTGAATTGCACACATTAGAAAGGTGAGTCTAAAAAAAAAAAAGAGTGTGTTTTATTATATGTGAATTATATCTCAATAAAGCTGTTATCAACAAGACTATTAGAATTGAAAGAATTTAAAAGAAAAGAAAACTTGACCTTTAAATTGTACAGAAAAACAAACATTTCACTTCTGAGAATGAATTAAAAGACAACATACTACCTTGGTTTTTGGTTGGCTTTTAATATGGAACATTGTGGGAGTTATGCACAACAAACACTGGTCCCCAGAGAATCTTTGCCAGTGCGTAAGCTGTGACCTAAAATATGGACTAGACAAAGAAATTGAAACCAGAAATCCTGTTTTGGACTAAAAACACTTGACAAATGATTATAGAAAATCGTAGCGCCTTAAGGCCCACATAAGAGAGTAATGGAATTTACTTTACCTCTTATATCTTTCCACAAGAAGATAAAAAAGTGTGCTGGGAAAGGTAACTCCTACTGGACTGTTTCATGAAAGCTCATGAAAGGACCTGTTAAATCTTTCAGAGAATATATCTTCTTGAAGATTTTCTGCAGTAAAGGAATAGTTGAGATGATGAGAAAACAAAGAAACAATGAAGTCAGGTGGGAGGTGAGGTTGTCTAGACCCCTGAAAAGAAGCATCAGTCAGATTGCCTTAGTATCGTCGCCAGGGCCTCGCTACCAAGCTCCAAACCAGCCACAACAACCCAGTTTCTGGCCCTGCTTACAGGTGCTGCTTGCCACCAGCAGCGAAGGCCAGATGCCAGAAGCTGCAAGCTCCAAGCAAGCCCCCCTGGCCCAGGTTTCCACCAGTCTGATGCAGTTCTGATGCCGTGCCAATCCTCCAGATGACCTTGGGATCATTACCATCTAATTGTAATAATAATAAAAAAAACCAACACACCAACCAACCCACCGATAGATTGGACAGCGCCCATTCAAGGGAAGAAAAGAGGTGACACTTTGATTCTTCATGTCTCCTGCCCCTTCCCGGAAAAACCCTGAGATCAGCTTGCTTACCAGCCCCCTTAATGACCCTAACCCCATAAAACCCTGACCATGAGACCTAATGGGGAGAAATGTGCCTTTACAGCATAAGCTCCCCTTGTCCATTCTCTGACCACTAAATAAATTACTTACTTGCCATCAAATATCTATTAGTTACTTGACAAATGGTGTTGAGTAGAAAAAAAACACTGCCACAGGGTTAACAGTAGAGAAATCACAAGCTGAAAAGTTACTGTTCCTCCATTGGGACAATGACAAGGCCCACTATGAGATTGGCTGATGAAATCTCTAAACAGAGGTAGAGTCTCAGTTCTTGACATTTGTCATGGGTTAGATAGGAATTGCCCTGTATTGTTTAGATCTAGAACCATCGGGTAGATCGTGCTTCCTGGAATAAGGCTTTGAACGTTAGAGTTGTGTATGATGTTTCATTCCTGGATCCTTCTAAATTTGGGGCCCTTTCTTCTGTGTCTAACAGTGTTTTGCCCATTATTCCATGTACAAGATAGCTGTAGACTGAGAGGAAAACAGATAGAAAAGACAAAAAGCCACAAAAGAGTTGATGGTTAGTCTTTTTTAGTTTTGTGCCCTATTTGTCCAGGTAGAATAAAAGGGCTTTTTGGGCAGTGATAATCGTGCAGGATAATAATGACTAACATTTCTTGAGGTACTCGTACTTTCCATGAATTGTCCCATGTAATCCGTATGACAGTCCTATGATTTGGGTAGCATCATGATTCCATTTCATAGATGGGAAGTGGAGGCATGGAGGGGTTAACCAACTAGCCCAAGGTCATGTAGCCAGTAAGTGCTACACCTAGGATATGAATGGAGGCAGGTTGATTCCAGGGGCACATTCTTTACTGTTAATCGGCATATGTTTTATATGACATTTTCTCTATAGTGTTGTTTAGTATCCACACCTCACACAGATCATAATTACTTGATAGCTTACAAGATGAAATAAAATCATAAGCCATAGTAAACAAGGTCATAAGGAGCAGTATAGCATCAAGCCCATAGTGAGCTCTAAAATTGTTGGGTTTTCTGGGCGGAGTGGGGCTTGAGCCAGGTTTAAAAACATGTTCTCAATATCCCTGTACAAA